ATGTCTTAGAGAGGGCCTATTTGGATTAAGGTAACTACATGTTCTGTTTGCTTCTTGGATTTGAGGATCTAGTCCTTTCCATCGGTTTGGGAAGTTCTCATCCACCATTTGTTTGAATAGGCTCCCATTCCGTTCCCTTCCTCATCTTCTGGTATGCATATTATTCTTTTATTGCTTTTTCTGATTGAGTCAGATAGTTCTCGTAGAGCACTTTTATATTTTTTATGCTTAGGTCTCTCTCTTCTTCCCTGTGTTATTTCTAGACTAGAGGCCTGATGCATGTAATTTGTGCAAGAGCCTTAACCCCGGCCTCTGCCGCCTCTGCTGTGGCCCCTGCCTGCTGCGGCTGTGTCCAGAAGGAAGGACGTCTGGAAGGACATCTGGTCTAATTGGCATATTATGCTTTTATTATTATAGGTTCCTGTCTTTTATATCACTAATCCTTTCCTCCACGTGGTCACTTCTGTTTCCTCTGCTCAGTAGCTTATTGCTGATCTCCTTAACTGACTGATTCATCCCAAGAATTTCTGTTTGGTTCTTTTTTAAAGTTTTAATCTCTTCGGTAAAATGATCTGTGTTCTGAGTAAATCAAGTTGCCTGTCTGTCTTTTCTCTCATCTCATTGAGTATTTTCAGAACGGCAACCTTGAATTCTGTCATTTATATCACATATTTCCATGTATTCCACTTGGCTTTCTGGAGATTTTTTTTTTCTTTTTCTTTCTGAGCTGCCTCACTAAATTGGTTATTCGTGCTATTTGGCGGGCTGGGCTCCCTCTCTGTCTGGGCAGCTATGTAGTGACACTTCTTTAGCAGATTTCTATGAAGAGATATTTCTATTATTTTCCAGTAGGTGGCACTGAATCACAAGTTTTTTTAGTTCTGAGAAGTTCCCAAGCTGACCTCTGCTGCTGCCTTCAGAATGGCTGCAAAGTTGGGGGCTGAAGTTTGTTTTTCCCTCAGACCCCCACAGGGCCACCCCCAATGCGTCCCAACCGGGGATCAGTCACAAAGATATGTAACAATTCTGCATAGTAGTTCTCGGGTTTGCACATAATGTGCTCCACATCCCAGCACCAAGGGCCAGGGGAGACAGTTTTGGGGAGTCTGAGTGACAGTAGGGCTCCGTGGCTCCTTGTCTTAGTTTGGAACACCGACCTCGGAAGAACTCCGCGCTTTGTCCTTGCCCAAGCCTCTCAGCATCTACAGTTTGCACCGCTCCCTCCATCAGGGATGCCGTCCCGAGATTCTCTGCACCTCACAGCCAAGCTAGCACCAGCTACAGCCAGCTTCCTCCCCTCTGGCCAAGCTGCAGAGCTGCATCCATGGCTTCTTAGCTCGCCTCCCTTCTTGCCCCCCCCCCCTTCTTTGTTTCCATGCACCCACCTTTAGATGCTTCAATGCCTGGATCTCTCAGACATACCTGTGTTGTGAGCTGGGAGTCCTTTGTTGAGTGATAGCCGATCAACTTGTTGAAATTTCATGGAGAGAAACCAAGGGGATCTCTCACACCACCATTCCTCTGACATCCTCATGTGTCTGTTATAGTTATCATGTCCTTATTGATATTTTTGTCTGGAAGATCTATCCATTGTGTCAAGAGGGCTGCCCCAGCTGGTTTGGCTTGGTGGGTAGAGCGTCAGCCTGCAGACTGAAGGGTCCCGGGTTCGATTCTGGTCAAGGGCATATGCCTGGGTTGCAGGCTCAATCCTCAGGAAGGGGTGTGTAGGAGGCATCCAACCAATGATTCTCTCTCATCATTGATGTTTCTATCTTTTTCTCCCTCTCCCTTCCTCTCTAAAATCAAATACATACATATATATATATATATATATATATATATATATATATACACACATACATATATATACACACACATATATATACATATGTATACACACACACACACACACACACACACACACTAGAGACTCAGTGCATGACATTCGTGCACTGGTCCCTCAGCCCAGCCTGCGCCCTCTTGCAGTCCGGGACCCCTCGGCGATGTCTGGGACCCCTTAGCACTGCCATGGAGGCAGGAGAGGCTCCCACCACTTGCAAGCTGGTGATAAACTCCTCCACCATAGCCGCTGGACTATCAGAAGGAGGGATGCCAGTACTGCAGTGAGTCCGGCTTCTGGCTGAGCAGCGCTCCAGGGGACAGCTCCTGCATTAAGCGTCTGGCCCCTGGTGGTCAGTGTGTATCATAGCAACCGATCATATTCTGGTCGTTCCATATAATGGTCACTTAGGCTTTTAATATATATATGTGTGTGTGTGTGTGGTGTTTTTTTTTTGTGTGTGTGTGTATATGTATATGTATATGTATATGTATATGTATATGTATATGTGCATATGTATGTATATGTATATGTGTATGTATATGTGTATGTATATGTATATGTATGTGTATGTGTATGTATATGTATGTGTATATGTATATGTATATGTATATGTATAAAATTTTTAAGATGGCTGCCGAGACCGGTTTGGCTCAATGGATAGAGCGTCAGCTTGGGGACTGAAGGGACCCGGTTCGATTCCAGGCAAGGGCATGTACCTTGGTTGCGGGCATATCCCCAGTAGGGGGTGTGCAAGAGGCAACTGATCGATGACTCTCTCTCATCAATGTTTCTAGCTTTCTATCTCTCTCCCTTCCTCTCTTTACAAAATCAATAAAATATATTTTTTAAAAAAAATTTAAGATGGCTATGTAAAGGTCCTTGCCAGGCTTAGGTTGCAAAGTCAACCAAGTGCCCATGAGCTCTGGGCACACGGCTGAGGCACTATGACAAAACACAGTATGACCTGCCATGCAGTAGCTGGTGACTGTAGGAGAGCTTCTTCTGCCTGCTGTGTCTCTCCAGGGCCCTCTACTGTAAAAGCTTAACATCGCGCTAACTTTAAAGGAGAAATAATGAGGAATTCCATCCATTATCCCTGAGCACATAAGGATGGATTTAGAACTTACAGTGATAAATTTAAGTGTAATAGAGTGACTAACAGCACAGCACTCAATGAGGAACACGATATTCATCCATAGAATATTAACATATTTTAAAATGAATTTTCTGAGATAATAGGAACTATTTGGAAAAAAAATAAAACAAAATTTTCTGGAGAAATATACATGTAGTTGCCAAATAAATAAAAATCGCTTTAAAGTGAACCAGAGCCGCTGTACATTCAGGCTGAAGCATTTCCAAAGAGATTTCAGAAGAGCCTGAGAAGGTAGAAGCCCGGTGGGATATGTTCGCAAACTTGAAGCTGCGTGAGGAAGCCACGCTGAATAGCATCTCCCGGGGGCAGTGTGGCACCAAAAACAACAGGTCACTCACTTCTGAAGGCATGAGAGCTTGTCACACATTTCACACATTTGTCTACGAGACAAGTCTACGGGAAAATCTGTCTTTGTCCATTTGGACTGCTGTAACAAAGTAACCAGACTGGGTGGCTTATAAGCAATAGAAATGTATTGTTCACAGATCGGAAGCTAGGAAGTCCAATGTCAAGGGGCCAGGAGATTCAGGGTTTGATGAGGGTCCACTTCCTGCATCCTCGGTGGCATCTTCTGCTCTGTCTTCACACGGTGAAGGGTGAAGGAGCCCCTTGTCTGACAGACTAGTTCCATTGGAGAGCTCAGACCTCATAACTTAACCACCTCCCAGAGGCCCCACCTTCTCATACCCATGACCTCCGGTATTATATTTCTAACATATGAATCGGGGCCTCCACAAGCATCTTATCAGTGGTGTAATCAAGACAGACATGATTAACCCCAATGGGCACGGAAGGAAACTGAGTCAGAGGCTAGAACTCCAGCCTCCTGATCCAGTGCACTTGCTGGTTCACTTACCCGCCTCTCAAGTTCTGCTTCCAATTCCCCTTTGTCCACGAAGCCTTCCTTGACTAACCCCAAGCCAGTATTTTCACTAAGCATTCTGGGAAATGTGTTGCACAGCATGACACGTGTCTAAGAACTGTGGTTCTCTAACTTTAGCCAAGGGCGTTATCTGAGGGCTTGTTAACACACAGACCACTGGGCTCCTCTCCCAAGGTCTCTCATTCCGTAGTTCTGGGGTTTGGGCCCAAAATAACTCGTAAGTTCCCAGGTGAAGCCAAGGCTGCTGGTCAGGAAACCACAATTTGGGAACCGCTGGTTTAGAAGCCAGCAGATTCTTCACCTACATCCTAGGTTTGACCTGCAACTCCAGCATAGAAGATGCCAAGTCTTAATGTCCTCAAGCAAAGACTCTTCAAAAGGGGAGCCTCTCTTTTCCTGGATGATCAGAGCCCTGGAGTGCGTAGAGGTGAGAGCCAACAGGTCATTTTAACTTCACCTTTTCATTTCTTGGCTCCAGAAAGGTCTGCTGTTCCTCTAAGCTTCCTGCTCCCTTCCTGTCTAAGACCAGAGAGAAGACAGCTAGACCGGCATCACTATGCCTCAGGCCCGCCCAGGTATGCTCAGCCCTTCTGTGCATTGTCTCACTTAAGAGCTAGAAGTAAGAGGACTTGTTTGGCTCTACTGGTTTGGCTCAGTGGATAGAGCGTCGGCCTAGGGACTGAAAGGTCCAAGGTTTGATTCCTGTCAAGGTTATGTACCTTGGTGTTGTGGATACATCCCCAGTAGGGGGTGTGCAGGAGGCAGCTGATGGATGTTTCTCTCTCAGCAATGTTTCTAACTCTCTACCCCTCTCCCTTCCTTTCTGTAAAAAAAAAAAAAAAAATCAATAAAATACATTTTTTTAAAAAGAGAGAGCCTGTTTGGGGGTCTCTTCATGACTGCCTCTTCCAATCTGAATAAAATGACTGCCCATTGGTGAGAAATATCCCTCCCCAGAGTAATTTTTTTTTATATCATACACATACGCTAGGATTTCTCCTCTTTTAATCAAGTTACATAAGTAAAAGCTTGAGATACCTCTATTTCTTTGACCCAACTTTCTTTTTAAAGATAAAATATCCTTTTATAAACCCAAATTCATGATAGAAAGGATATCCTCAAACTGCCCATGTGACACTCACCACGAGCTTTCCGAAAAGATGCAAACTGAAAGCCCCCGAATTGTGTTCACTAGCAGAGGTGTGTTTGGGGTTCCACGCCCCGAATTGGTTAAAAGTTTGAGTCAATATTTTAACATGAGGTACGTTCACATGAAAATCCAGACTTCCGCTTTTCTTGAAAAACGTAGGTCACAGCCAATCCAGGGTCTGGCTTTCATTGGACAACAAGCAGCTGGACTTGACATCCTTTGAACTTGAGATCCGGAGTCCCAGGCAGGTGTGGCGAGGACAGTCACAAGATGTCTTGATAAGAGCTGTGAGAGAACAGCGAGGGAGGGACCATGAAGAAAAGTGGAAGAGGGAATGGAAAAAAGAGGAACTGGGGAGAAAGGCTGAGGAAAGGAGATGGAAAAGAAGACTTACCAGCGCTTCTTATGCCAGAAGGCTATGCCCCCGCCTATCAGAAGGAGGGATGCCAGGACCACTGTGACGATCAAGCCCACCGGAACGTGACTTCCCTCTGCTTCAGGAACACGGGGATGTCTCAGCCCAGACTCCTCCCTAGCTCAGACCGCCTGGTCTAAGCACAGGTGAGGGTGCCAGGTGCTTATTTCCTCTCCCATTTAAAGTTTCCACTGCTGGCCCAGCCAGTGTGGCTCAGTGGTTGAGCATCGACCTATGAACCAGGAAGTCACGGTTCGACTTCCGGTCAGGGCACATGCCTGGGTTTTGGGATTGATCCCCAGTGTGAGGTGTGCAGGAGGCAGCTGATCAATGATTCATTCTCATTATTGATGTTTCTATTTCTCTCCTTTCCTCTCTGAAATCAATATATATACATGTTTTTTTAATAAAAAATAATGTGGCCACTTCTATTACCCTGAAGTTTGGAGGACCCAGTTTTTCTCGGGGTCTGGGTATCCTTAATCCAGTCCAATTCCCCTTGTATAGCACAGCATACAGGGGAAGGGCAGTAATTCCTGAGCGAGGCAGTCCTGCGTCTACGCTCAGTTTTCCTCTTTCTAACAAGGCAGCTGTTGCCGAAACCAGTTTGGCTCAGTGGACAGAGCGTCAGCCTACGGACTGAAAGGTCCCAGGTTCGATTCCCGTGGGGGGGGGTGCAAGAGGCAGCTGATTGACTGATTGATATTTCTCTCTCATCGATGTTTCTAACTCTCTATCTCTCTCCCTTCATCTCTGTATAAAATCAATAAAATATATATTTTAAAAAAAACACAATGCGGCTGTGGGCAGTTCACTTAACCTAGCTGAGCCTCGGTTTCTCATCTATAAAGTGAGAATAATACTTGCTTCAAAGGAGAGGTGATGGGATGGCATGCTGCGTGCAGAATGCTCAGCCCACACACGGGAAGCAGCCAGTGAACTGCAGCTACCTGTGTACCCTGCCTTCTCCTGCTCGCAGCCCCTCTCCTGAGGAGGTACCCTGCCTGTGCCCCCTACTTCTGAAACTGGGAGTATTTCCGTCTCATTTTTCTTGCATAGGGAACATCCTGCCTCAGTGCTTTTTGAGCTGAGATCTTTGTTCCCCTCTGTGCTGTACCTGGGGTCCCCTCCTTTCTCCGTCCTGGTCAGGGCCTCGTCCCTGAAACCCATCTGTCCTGGATCAGTCCACTCCCACCTCCCCCGTCCCTCCCTCCGTGCTTCAGAACCACATCCCCTCCCAGTGGGGCTCCAGCACTCACCCCAGGAGAGGACGATGTCCTGGCCTCCGAGGCTGCTGTGCCTCACCCGGCAGGCCAGGCCAGCTGCCTCCCCGGCCGCCACGTCCAGGGTCACCCGGAGATACCACGTCCCGTCAGCATTGGGCAGGACGTCCCCTTGCTGGGCGCCCGGCAGCTCCTGCTGCCCCTGCATCCACCGCACCCACACGGGCTCGGGGTGGAATCCTGAGACGTGACACACCAGCAGCAGCCGGCCGGGTCCAGGAGGGGGGCCACTGGACAGCCAGGCCTCGGGCTTCTCTGTATCCAAAAAGGGGATGGGGCACCTGCGTCAGAGGCTGGGCCTCGTGGCTGACCTGCGCAGCCCAGTTCCACCGCAGGAAACGAAGGCTCCCTTCACTGCATCCATCTGTGCTCCCTTCTCCCCAACCCGGTCTCCTGTAAGCGCCCCTGTCTACACTCCCAGAGCACCCTGTCACACATCGACGTCTCAAACACCGCTCTCCTTGTTAGTCTTTCCATCCTCCCCCTCACACAAAGGTCCTGTTTGACCCTGTGTGTGTGTAACTGGATTCACAGAACCCAAAGGTTGCTCAGGAACACTCTGGAATCCCCTCACCCTTAGCCATCCCCTCCTGGGCCTTTCTCTTCCGAGGCTCAAAGGAATGCAAACCCTAGAATGGAAGCCCAGCTGGAGCCCCACAGCGGAGGATTGGGGGTGCGGGGGCCCTGGGGGGAGGTTTGGGGGGGTAGAGGGGGACCCCCCCACCTGGAGAAGCAGGGGGTGTAGAGGGGGACCACCCCCACCTGGAGAAGCAGGCTGACCTTGCTTCTCCAGCTCCTGCTGCCCCAGCTCCAGGAGGCCGGTGAGAAACTGGGGGCAGACGTCATTGAGGAGCCAGTGGATGGTGTCCCTGGTCTCGTGGTCCTTGTTGAGTGTGTTGCTGACCGTCTCGGCCCAAGACGGGGCGTCTGGGGCTAGCACCCAGAAATGTCCCTGGAAACTCAGGATATCGCTTCCTTGAAATGCTGAGCTGAGGAAGACTTCTGGGGGGCCTCCAGGACGCACCTCACATCCTGCGGACATCTGGACCTCAAAGGGGTCTGAGGAGAGGAATGGACAGAGATCAAACGGTTTGACGGGTGGGAACAAAGAAGACAATGAGGTGAGGGCTGTTATACCCAAGGCCCCCGGGAAAGGGGAGGGGGTGACCCAGAGCAGGAGGAACAAGGGGTATGTGGGGGAGTCGGAGGCCGGGACCTCCCTGGCAGAAGTGGAGATGAGAGCATCCCAGTGCCTCCCAGCTGGGCCTGGGCCTCCGCTGTCTCCTGGGGGGAGGAGGGGGGGGGGCAGCTGCCCGGGGGACACCCCACCACCACCACCACCACCTCCACCCCCACCCCCCAGCTCACAGTCCAGGTGCAGCGTCTTGGCGAAGGCCCAGATGTCCCTGGTGAAGCTGCTGCGGTACACCCTGAACAGCTGCTGCTGCTGCGCCCACTGGCGGTCGCTGAAGGTGCCCCTGGACCAGGGCCTCAGGCAGCGGATGTCCGAGCCGTTGCTCCAGGAGTGGGTCTGCAGCGGCCCCAGCCAGCCGGAGCCGTCGGTGCGCGTCCAGCTGCTGTTGGCGAAGGAGGAGACCTGGAGGCCGCGGAAGCCGACGCTGCCCGGGGGCGCGGACGTAGAGCGGGGCCCGGAGAGGCGCGGCGAGCGGCCGGGAGGGCGCAGGGCTTTAGGAGAAGGAAGGAAGGAAGGAAAAACACAAACACAAACTTGGGCAGGAGGGGTGCTGTCGGCCAGTTCCCCCGCTCCCAGCACCCCGCACCCCTCACCCTGCACCCTGCACCCTCACCCTGCACCCTGCACCCAGCACCCTGCACCCTGCACCCCGCACCCCTGGAGCGGAGAGCAGGGAGCGCTCACAGTTTCCCAAACGCAGGCATCTCCGCCGCCCCCATCACGGTCGCCCCCGTTCCCCGTCCAGCTCCCTCTCGCTGTCTCCCAGACCCATGCCCAGGCATCCTTGCTCCCTCCACTCACCCTCAGAACTTGCCCAAATCTGGGGGAGACCCCAGAGCAGCAGGACCGGCCAGCACTCCATGTCGCCGGGCTCCCAGCTCTGGCTCAGACCTCTGGCCCCTCCCCCGCCACGGGGCTGGACCCTGGACCGCAGCGCTTTGACGCGGGAGCCCGCGGTTTCCACGCCCCAGAGGACAGACTCCCGCCCGGGCTTAGGGTTTGCTCCCAGCCCCGCCCAGGCACCACCCCTTCCTCACCTGCCAGGTGTCTGCTCGCCATGAGCTGCTGGAGCTGCAAAGAGCTGTGGGCTCGCGGAGTCCTGAAACCACCGATCCAGCATTTTTCACAACCAACTTGTCTCATCTATGTAAGCTTTAAAAACAAGACATGAAGTTGGGTCTATGGTGTAACTCCAACCGTGTTAAAAATGCAAAGACGAAAAGGAGGAGGAAAGGCTGTGACTTAGCAGTGGATTCCCCTAGGAGGAAAGGCCGAGGTGGTTTTATTTTGTTCTACACTGTTTGCCTCAAACTTTCTGCAAGAATAAGTATCACATCTATAACAACAAAAGCATAACGTGCTAATTACAATAGAACGGACATCCTTCCGACGTCCTTCCTTCCAGACAGAGCTGCAGTGGGCAGAAGCCCCTGGCGAGGGGGGGGGGGGGGGGGGGCAAGGTCCTTGCATGAATTTCGTACACTGGGCCTCTAGTCTATAATAAAATGCAAACATTAAAACTAATTTCCTCCGTTGTACATTGAGGGTATAGGACTGGGTTGGCTCGGAATTTTTAGTGTGCATTTTTCTTCTTTATTTTTGTTGTTGACACTATGACAGATGTGTCGTCCCCCCCCCCCCCCCCGCCCTTTGCCCACCACCACCCAGCCCCCACCCCCTTCCCTCTGGCCACCACCACACTGTTTGTGTCCATGGGCTAGACGTATATGTTCTTTCACTAATCCCTCCGTCTTCTTTCAACCAGTTCTGCCCTCCTCACACCCATCTAACAGCTGTCAGGCTGTTCCCCGTATCCATGCCTCTGCTTCAATTTTGTCAGCTTATATTGTCAGTTCATTAGATGAGATCATATGGTATTTGTCTTTCCCTGACTGGCTTATTTCACTTAGCATAATAACCTCCAGGTTCATCCATGCTCTCACAAAAGGTAAGATTTTTCTTTTTTACAGCCGCCCAGTATTCCATTATGCAAATGTAACAGAGCTTTTTTTATGCACTCATCTACTAATGGGCACTCAAGCTGTTTCCAGATCTTGGCTATTGAAAATAATGCTGCTATGAACACAGGGGTGCATATATCCCTTTATTATCAACTAGAGGCCCGGTATATGAAATTCCTGCATGGAATTTCTGCACTTGTTTTGTTGTTAATTTATTGATGGTAGCCATTCTGGCAAGTGTGAGGTGATATGTTGTAATAGTTTTAATTTGCATCTCTCTGATGATTAGTGATGTTTTCACGGCTGTTAGCTATCTGTATGTCCTTTTCAGAGATGTGTTTATTCAGGTTCTTTGCTCATTTTTTAATTGGATGGTTTGTCTTCCCAGTGTTGAATTGTGTAACTTCTTTATATTTTTTGGAGATTAAAACCCTTATCAGATGTATCATTAGTGAATAGGTTCTCCCATATAGTGGCTTCTCTTTTCATGTTGTTGATGGTTTCTTTTGCTGTGGAGAAGCTTTTTAGTTGGATGTTGTTCCATTTGTTTATTCTTTCCTTTATTTCCCTTGCCCTAAGAGACATATTGACAAAAATATTGCTCTGAGAGTAGTCTGCAATTATACTGCCTATGTTTTCTTCTAGGATTTTTATGGTTTCACAACTTACATTTAAATGGCTTTCACATCCCAGTATTATTTCATTTCATTGTTCCTGGCCCTTCTCTTCCTCGGTCATTGCCCCTGCTCTTGCCTTGATCTCCCTACCAAGCCCCCCAGACCCACCTCTCACCCCTCCTGGCTGGTTGGCCTCTCTGCCTGCTCCTCTGACACCCCACTCATCCACTCCCTAAATATGACATGCCTTTATGTTAAACAACAGAGACAAGATTCTAGTGCATTCCTGGTCAGCCAAGTCCCCACTGCTCACGCTGAGAATAAGAGCAAGGAGACATAAGGATCCAAACCTTGGGTCGTGGTGAGGAAAGGCCCCAGCCTTGGCGAGGCAGAACCAGGGCAGCACCCTGGCACCTCCCTCTCTCTCACTCCTTTGATCCAACCCATCAGCCACTCATCACAGTTTCACTCTTCTGAAATAGCTCTTGAAAGTGTGCCCTTGTCTACATTTTCACCTCCACCACCACCCTAACCTTTTACTCAATCTCTTGAAATAGCGTTCTTAGGGTCAAGATCACAATCATTGGCATGGCCTGCAAGATTATGCAGTTTGACCGTGGTCTATGGTCTAATGTCATCTCTTATTCTAGTCTCACTAGATCTCGGTTAGCATGGTTGATATGCTTTCAGTTCCTCTCATATGCAAAGCTTCTTCCTGCCCTGCAGGGCCTCATGCGGAGGGGATCTCCCTTTTCCGTGGCCAGCACGGAAAGAGAGATGAAATTGGTTCTTCGTAGAGGCGTCCGAGGATTGAGAAATAATGAAATGAAGAGAGTTGACGCAGAAATAGGTTCAAGCTGGAGAGACAGACGACTCACCTGATGCAGCACATCTATTTATTCTCCAATACACAAGGGGGTTTCACCGGAAAACCCAAGACCAAAGGAGCCCACTCCTTCCTCTCCGGTGCCAGACGGGTTCCACGTCTCAAAGCCCTCTTCTGGAACCCGGACAAAGGCAAGCCAGGAACCTACAACACCTCCACACTCCCAGAGCCGGGGTGTGTGTGTGTGTGTGCAACTGACATGACTCCGTCAATGTCCCCGGCCCAGCCAACAACAATCTAAAGAATGTCTATGTGTCTTCCCATGGGGCCCTCTACACTGCCCAAGGTCTTTGCATAGTTCCTTTTTGCCCTCTCCACCCCTTTCCAATGCATAGTCAACTCCTACACATAGCTCAGCTCAAAGATCATTCTCAGGGGAGTCTTCTCAGGGTATATAGACTCTGTGTGAGCAAAGGCCAGTCCACTCTTCGTACACTCGCTGTCTTCATAAACTTTTCTCCCAGCACAGATCAGAGCTTGTAATTACAGAAATGTTCTTATGTCTGTCTGTCTCTGTGTATTCTCAACCTACTGGGTCAAGTCTCTTTACTCTGGTTCCTCCCATTCCGCCAACATAAATGCTTCCATCTTCCCATACTCGACTATAGTAAGAGACTTAGAGAATAAACTTCTGCCCCTCCCTCTAGTCTGGGACCTGGGAGATAACCCTTACCTGGCCTCTTATTGTGCTAATATTGTCCAAAACATTTTGAAATAACAGGGGGGGGGGGGGGGAATATTGTTGCTGTAAATAAAGGGTTAAGTGACTAAATTAAGAATTACCCAAATTGTGGGTTAAGGGCTGGATAAGATGGGAGCTGTGAGGATGGAAGTAAAAAGAAAAATGGTTATATGAATCTTGCTACATCTAACTTGCTTCAAATTTCCAACCTTTCTTTAAAAACTTGAACAGTTCTGTTTAGTTTATTTGCATGTTAAAATTTTCAAGTATGCGGGGATTCCAAGATGGCTGCAGAGTAGGTGGAAGCTACACTCACCTAATCCTAGTCCCAAACCAAACCATATTTACAGCTCAATTATAGAGTAATCATACTGAACAATCAACTGAAGACTGGCTGAACTGAACTATTATAACCAAGGATTTATAGAAGAAGCCACATAGAGTCTGGTAAGAAGAGCAGAGCTGGTGAAAGGGCTGGCCCCGGCACCACTGTGCAGCAGCTGAGAAGCTGGAGGGACAGTAAAACTCCTTTTCCCAAGAGTGTGAGAGTCTCTAACCCAGGCAGGGATCCACAGAGACGGGAAGAGGAGCCCAGAGTATCAGGGGGTGTACATCAGTGGGATCAGTCTGTCTGGTAGAGAAAGGAGTCTGCTAGAGACCCAGACACCACTTTCTTAAAGTCAAGCACTCCGATGTCTCAGCACCAGCACCGGGAGTGCACTGCCTGGTTTTCTAAGACACCATTCTGCCGTGCTCAGATCCTGCAGAGGGATCTGGTGGCTACACCCAGCAGAAGATTTCAGGGTGCACTTTTTCTGGAGAGGCTCTTGGTAGAGACTCAGTGATTGAACTGTGTAGCTACTGAAAGGGGACCATTCTTCCCCACCTTAGCACATAACTAGCACCCCACACACATCTGCTGAGTCACTTGGCCTGCCCTACCTGTGGCCCCGCCCTGCTAACTTCAGTCATACAGGGCAGTCAAAATGCCATGCAGAGTTGGCATTTTCAGAGAGCCATATCCTGGGAAGTTTTAGTCTGGAATCAGATGGGCTGGTGCTGGATTGTGTGGCTACCTCAAAGAGAGCCCTCCTCTCTCCCCTGTGAGTTCAGCCTGCGTTTTCCCAGGAAGGGAATGGAGTATCTGCCCTCCTCCTACAGGCTTGTTGGAAAACCTCCAACTGCAGGTGTCTCCAGAAGTTAGAAAATAGGCAGTGCACTTTGATCTGTGTCCCCAAGTCCCAGTGGCCCCACCCTACTGAGCTGAGCTCTGTGGGAGAAAGAAAGGGCTGCTTAGAGCTGGGATATTTGGAGTGGGTCTCCCTAGGAGGCTATTGTCTGGGGCTGGGACAAGGTGCCTGGACCCCTCTTACAGGCTTGGCCGGCAACTAAAAAGAGATTCTTTTGATCTACCGTGTTTCCCCAAAAATAAGACATCCCCTGAAAATAAGACCTAGCGCATCTTTGGGAGCAAAAATTAATATAAGACACTGTCTTATTTCCGGGGAAACGGGGTATCACACACATACACCCCACCTCCAGTCCTAATCATGCTGAATTTGCTTCTGCAGATGTGATGGCTGCCTGCACCCTATCGGCCATTCAAATATGCCATTTTTTAAAATCTCCATAACTACTGTGAGAGACAGGGATCATTGTCCGTAATTTGTAAACGAGGAAACCAAATCAAAGAAAGTGCACCCGGGCCCAAGGCAAAGCACAGCAATGATTTGGGCCAGCACCGAAATTTTGCTTTTCTAACTCCT